ATACACCCATTCCAGAGTAATGTGTCGATCGATCTTTGTTCTATAGAACTTTGGACTCACTTTGGACAAGGAACGGTGCATGTGATAATGCGTTTACTACTATAAATGCTTACTTATTTGGTCGACGAGTTTTTGACGCGCGTGAAGTATTCGGGGTAGGTAATACGGGAGAGAACGTGGGTAGGCACCTCAGCATAAAAAGGGAAATAAATATCTGCTCTTTGGTATTCTTACGCCTCCTATTTTGGGAAATAACGTTTATTCAGTTTTCTCAGTTGCATGTTGTGCAAAGTTCAAAAAATTCTTACATCTAGCATTAACTTCTTCCCTAAATCCATAAGTGTTAATAGTCTTTCGAAATCCCTGACAGAGCCACTTCTGTCCCTCTATCGCTTCAAATGATACTAAATAATTTACTGACGCCCATTCTTTTATAGTACCAAAGCGAAGCGAGCCGAGTAACGAAGATTAAGAAGTACATATACGGTTTTATAAAGCTATAGGAGCTTAAAGTTTGAAAATATGAATGGGTAGGGGATGCACAGTTAAAGAGCAATTTAGGTGTAAATAATGCAAATGAAGGATCAATATATGTTACAGGAGAGTAAGCATTCACTAACGTAATGACATACACTACCTCTTTCTAAGCTCGCATCCAAATAGGAATGAATCATTATGTATTTGATAGAAGTATAACTAGAGAAAACCATTTAGAGGAACTGTAAATCTATCTGAAAAAACATGTAATCTCGTGCGAATTTTTGTTAAATCACATTAGAATGACAGTGTAAAATTTCGTTTTGTTTAATGAGATAATGATACAGTATTTCTGTATGTAGTTCAACAAACAAATACCTAAACAACTGGCATGGGTAGAAAGAGTAGCAAGTAATTTAGGTATGCTCATCATAACCTTCGAAATCTTGATCGCAGCTTTATTTCAAAGGTTGTAGATCTAAAAGGGGCTGGCACTTTGTCTCCAAAAAGACAAATATTTTAATAAGCAGAAAACAACTAAACAGATAAAGTTTCACCTCCAACGGAAGCGGCCAAGAAAGGTAAGGTATGGTAAGGGAAAAAATCGCTTTACACGTTGAAGTCAGCTTGTTCCATTTAGATCACCCCACCTAGTGATTTCCTCTTTAGCACCGCCTATAATTGGATTCTTTCAAAAGCATAGCCTTCAAATTGCCTCTCTACTACTCATTCTCGTCAATCTAAAAGGACCCGGACGTTTTTTTTGATAGTTCCAGTGTAATCGAAGTTTTCATG